AATCTATTCAAGGCAACCTTCCAGTTGCACTACTAACCTGTTTTAATTTTACAGACTAAATCATTTAAAACACTGTGATAAGAAGAGCTTTTAAAATTCAGGTTTCAAAAACAGCCAAGGTACAATATTCGTTCCCAACCTAGATACAAGTTCTAGGTTAAATGAGTGATCCTGAAATTTTAGTATTGACTCGAATAGCTCTGTAAGAAAATACTTCTGGATTCATTTGCAAATATTTTATTATTTTGCTTTTAACCATTTTTTCCTATAACTTTCCTTAGTATCCAGTTAAATAACCAATGCATAAGTAATACCCAGTTAAGCAACTAGAGCATACATTAGGAAAACAGCAGCACAGTGAGTTTGCATCCAGATTTCGAGATGCTCTCTGGAACCGCAACTGTTGTACAGCACATAACACTGAGCGCTTTTATTATGGACTGTACCCTCTACTATACTTCACAAAATAGCACTTAACTGGAATAATCTAATTTTAATATATATTTTCTGGAAAACGTGATCCCAAACTATCAGTCATATTTTTTTAGACGTGGAGTATTTTTAACACAACTGTTAAAAGGTTCAATTAAGTGAAGTGCTTTCTAACAAGACCACAAAGAGTTACCTACTATCAAGAGGTAGCAGATAATGATGAAAAATGACATTAGGAAGGAAACTCTAATGTCACCTAGTCCCTCCACTCACCCAATAGAAATTCCTCCCTAATTAAATACTAAGAAATATAATATGTATGAATTATGATAGACTAATATTTTTGATTTAGAAACCATATTCATCTGATTTTTCAAGAGGAAAAACATTAAAGTCTGTTTTACATTATACCTTTTGAGAAGCTAGTTTGGTGTTGAAGCGTTAACATTACCATTCTGGATCAACAGAGGCAAGCACAGATGCCTATAGGAACCAGGGAGGTGAGGAAAAAAAGTTTTTTTTTTATGTGAGGAAGATCGGCCCTGAGCTAACATCTGCCAATCCTTTTTTTTTTTTTTTTTTTTTTTTGCTGAGGAAGACTGGCCCTGGGCTAACATCCATGCCCATCTTCCTCCACTTTATACGGGACGCCGCCACAGCATGGCTTGACAAGCTGTGTGTCGGTGCGCGCTGGGGATACGGACCCGCAAACCCCGGGCTGCCGCAGCGGAGCACGCGCATCTAACTGCCTGCACCACTGGGCTGGCCCCAGAGGAAAAAATTAAAGCAAGTCAGGAGTAAGGAAATCAAGAGCGCAGGTGTGACAACAGGGGCAGCAGGATGGGTGGGCAGTGACTCGGGACACTGGGATATTATTCAGTTTCAGCTGATGGCCACCATGTGCGAGTGCAGGCTTCAACTTTCTAGAAATTTTGATCTTTGAAGAAGTGCAGACTTTGTGAAGAGATTAAAAACAAAAGTCTAATCTTCAGACACTAAATGTTGGCAGGTAATACAACAACAGCAAAAACACCGTATGGGCTAAACCAAATGCCATCTGCGGGCAGCAAGCTGTATCTTGTGCTCTGGATCCTGCCTCTGTCACTTGCTTTCAGAAGCGTGTGAGGATACTGCCCAGGAAAACTAAGGTTCCAGTGAGTGATCGGAAAAGGGAAAAAGCAACTTGGAGATTATATGAACAAGGACTGGTGAACTTAAGGTGCAAGGGAGTCATAAAACTTCAATGTCAAGATGAAATCTTAGAGAAAAGGTTTCAAACTACTGGAAACAATCTTTCTACCAATCCTATCCTTTGTTCAAGAAATTGATGACTCTAGTCCTTTTCATACAGCAGATGAGATCAAGATGTGATCAGCGCTCCTTTCTTACATCTGAACACTACACACGAATCAGACCTGAGTCTCCCAGGTAGAAATGACTATCATGGATGCACACTCAGTTGAGGAAATGTGGAAACCTGTTTACTGATTCCTTTTTAATCACTGAAATCAGGGCAAATCTTATGATCATCTTCTAGTGATATTAGAGCTCCAGAATCTCAGATTCTTATATTTTCTTTTAAATAGTGTTAAAAGCATCAATAAAAATTTTAAATAAAAATGTGCATTCTTTATTCTGATATACATTTTTGTGTGCGGGGGGAGCCCATAAGCAGCATCTTCAGCTGCAGTCAGCTTGAGAGGATGAAGCACAAGCACGTGTCCAGTTGGTTTATTGCACTTCATGTACAGTCACACGTGGCTCTCCACTCACACGTGATCTGAGAAGACCTATTCCAACTTCTCTCTATATATACAATCTCCACAAATAAAGTTCTAAATGTCTTACACACACCACTACAATATAAACCAAAAAAGATGTATTTGGTAACCAAAACTACTCAATAATAGCATTTTTAAAAAGATATAATTTTGTACCCTGGGAGCTAAGCTGTTTCCACAACATAGTGTCTTTTGCCAACAAGGGACAGCAAAATTGTAAGCAATGCGAAATCAACATTGTGTTGCTACTTGCTGCACCTACCATCCACTTCCATCACGAATTAATTCCTCCTCCTCCTCTCCCACCCCTGGCAATTAGTGCAGCAGAAACACAGAAAGGAGAGTACTATGCTTAGGTGAACCAGTTTGATTCAGCATTGAGTACCAGCTATGCAGATAATTTTGTTAAGTCTCTTCTTAACAAAGGCATTCCAATTTAGACAATTTTATATTAAAGAAATCAGATAAAATTACATGTGTGTATCATATGAATATTTTCAAAAGTAAAAGTGTTGTCTATAAAATGAATTATTTTTCCAACTTAAATAAACCTATTAAGGAATTTGTGACATTAAAAAATTACCTTATGTACTTAGAAAGTGTGAGTCCAAAAAGTTCTCTGAGAGTAATTTTTGCTGTTAAATAATGAATTATAATTTAGCAATACATTTCATTCTACTAAAAATCACTTGCTGGAAATACTGTAATAGCTAATTGTTATCAAGGAATACAGACAGACATCTTATCCCAAACAAGCAAACAAAAAACTCCCCCAAACTGGAGAAACCTTAGACTGTCAAATATACAAGTGTTAGACTTCCCCAGTAAAGGAAGATTGTTGATTTGGTAATGAACAATTTCATTTAAATCCCCTGCCTGCTTTCAGTACATGAGAAAACTTAGATCCTTCGTACTTATCTAGTATTTATTAAGAATCCCTTAACCACCTCCCTGTCTTGTGTACACTATGCCCCTGTTGGCTTTACGGATGGGGTGCTGCACTTGCCCCTCTAGGTGAACTCTACAGCATGGATTGCTACTGCACTGCAGGACATGTGCTATCTTCTTTCATGCTCCATTTTTCTTGACATTTTGCTTAAGAAAAAAACACTTAACTACTAAGTACATTAATTTCACCAACTTCTTGACTGAAAGCTTAACTCGCAACTGTTAGCAAAATAATATTATGAAACAAACTGACTCTAGCATTTGATCGTTCTAAGAATGTGGTAGTTTCATGTTTAATACTATTACAACCTGCATAAAAACGGGATTTGTAATGTTATTTTCACCTTTAAAAACGGTTCTACAACTTTTCCAACATAAAAGGTGACAATATGACACAATTATACAGAAAGTACCCTTAACTGAAAATGAGATGAGACTGCATTCATAGGCTTCAGAGCATGTGTAGTAAACTGCATAAAAATGAATCAATTTAAGGGACATGGTACCATGATGACATATATTAGCAGCTTGACAGCCATCTTCAAATTTTTACAGAATAATATATGAACTGTATGGCAGTGAGAACTTTTACAGATAGTAGCATATTAAAGCTCTATCTGCCTAACAATAATACAGACCCCCCCATCAGAGAAACAACTGTTTGACCCAAATGACCATCTAAATAATGATTAAATAAGCTGTTATCACTATTCTATATATTTCACATATGTATATATACTATGAGAATATATAAATATCATATGGGAATACTTTGACAGTCTGGTTAATGGCATATTGGTATAGTTATGTCTTCTATAACATGTGACTCATTTCAGCCTCAAATTTTAGAAATTTAAAATAAATAAGAGGTAATTAACAAAAATAAGCCACTATTTACAAATGCAAAAATTCATCCTGAGAATTTTTTATTATCTAGAACTGTTTCACAGAAAAGGAAATTACCAATATCTGTGAAATAAAAATGCACCTCAAGAGTTAAACTGAAGAATTTGTAAGTAGAGGTCATTTACCTAGGTTGCAGCCAAGAAAAGCATGAAGATATTTAATAAATCTTAAACTGACTTGCATCTAAGAAATTAATAACTTTTCAAATGCCAGTTTTCTTCTCCCTTACACTTCTTGTATTAATTTTATATTCTGACTATATTTTGGAAGAGTGTGAGAGAGAACAAACACCTGAGGAAAACTCAGTAATGCTGTCTGATCTCTCGCTGACAGTTAGGTGAGGAGAGGTGGGGTGCATCATGGTTATTAATGACTTACTCCAGACTGTCATGAGAAACAGAGCCACTGTACCTTTAGCTTTATCTGTGTGGAGCCCCCGTAACAGGAGCAGCTGGCTAAAACAATTGAACACTTTATAAAGGGAAAATGTCCAATTAAAACAGAAATCTGAATAAAGGTAAACATCATGGGATTCTTTGCTTTATAATGTGACCATAAAGTTACCTATTTATAGAAATTAAAAGAAATGGTTCAACAAAGAATCAAACTGGTTTCTCGGGGTATATCATTACAATGAATCTCTTTACTCTTTATGCTGTGAGCAGACAGAGATTATTTGGAGAAGGAAAAATAAAGTGTGGAATTAGTAATGCAGAGGCTGAAAGGCAAGTGGCAAGACTAGAAGAATGCCTCAAACCAATGCTACTTTGTTCCCATTTCTACGGGCACCTACACCCCAAGATAAAAGGCCAGAATTACCAAAGCCAATTTAACAGTAGTGTGCGGAACTGTCAGCTGACAAACAACATAAAAACAAGTCACACTATGTTATCTGTGGTCACGTTGTTCAGGGTTAGTCCAGTAACTCAAGACTTTACATTCTTTTGTCTTTATTTTTTGATTTTAATTAAACACGTAAAGGTTAATAAACAGACATAGTCCAGAGTTAGTAGGTTGGTATTATAACATTTATTAAAATAATGCTATGGGTTAATAGAAACAGCAAAGAACCAAAGAATTAAAATGCAAGCTATGTAAAATCCCAACTAAAACCCAAAAGTGTCTAATGTATTCATTCATTAGCTAACTAAAAGCCCAAGAAAGACAAGACACCCAATATAATAAAGTACTGCAAAACAATTGGCAATTTTCAGTTATCAAAATTGTGGATTTTGCATTTTGTATCCTTTTCTCAATCAAGAAAAAAATTCTTTTTGAATGTTATATAACATACATATAAAACAAGATAGAAAAATACATTATAAACTTGTAACAATGGCTGTAAATACATTATCTTACATGTTTCTCATAGGCAATAGGTTGGTTATGGTACATACATAGCATGAAACTACTAAGATAATAAAGAATCGACAAAAATACATGTCAGCTGTACGGTAACATACAAGCGACACTCCCATCTACCCACGCTAAAAAATTACATAATACTGTCAGCAAAAAAGTCTTAAAAACTACATATTTTAATAAGAAATAAATTCAATAAAGAATGATAATACTGAGAACCAAGGCATTCAGAGATTTCAAAAGTCATGCTTTTTTCAGTTGATCCAAAATTTTGTCAACTAAGTTTTCAAAAGTTTGTTCAGAGCCAACATTACTCATAAATGTCACACATTTATTTCATACATTTACTTTTCTTCCCCATAAAAGACCTTTGATACATCTAAAATGTCCAGGTATAACATAGTTGAGATGAAACTGGATCAAATACTGGTATCGTTTTTAAGCTACTATCACCTCAAGTGTTTGAGTGTCGCAAATTTATTCAACCAACCAAACAAAATAAAAATCAAAATGGCACAGCATATATTGTAAATAAATCAAAACAACTGTATGTGTAACAGAAAGACAAAGCAGTGGCACATTAAACCAGAGCTGGCTGAATACAAAACAATGAATGTCTATTGCATAGTAAATAAACTGAAAACATTTCCCAGTGAGACAAGATGATGGAGGAGGTCACCACGAAGGTGCTTACTGAGCTTACTGCTGACCTTTCACTGTGAAGCTGGGAAGGTGTGTAAGAGGGAACGAGCTGATGAGCTGGGGATCCACTGCCACTTGATATTTGCCACGTCTGGTACTGAGCATTTAACGATTATTTACTTAAGTGTTTAGATGTAAGCTCAGTGCATAAATTGCTTCAACTATAAAACTAACTGAACTTCATGAGAAACTGGAAGCTTAAACTCACATGTAGTTGAGTATATGCACACTGATTTTAGTTTTTCACATTCTTTTAGAGTTTAAGAAACAAAGGTGTGTGTGTATGTGCGCTTGGGGCAAGGTGAGGGCTGGGGCAGCTTAGGTTACTAACCAGCAAAGAGATGGTAGAAAGAAATCTGATTAAATTTGGGTCATTTAAAAACCTTGTTTTCCAGAATGAAAATCACAAAGAATCATTTTTGTGGAAGTCTGCTAAAGTATACTATTACCTCCAATTAGCAAGAAAAAATCCACCACATCCCCCTTTCTCCAAATAAAATAAAGCTCTAATTTTAATTAGTCTGTAAATTGATGTTCAGACCACACATAATTTTTATCTCAGAATCCTTTGGGTTAACATTAAATAGCGCAATACCAAAAGCACTCAATTATGATTTTAAAAGGATGATGTTTTAAAACTTACTTGTCAAGCATTAGACAAGTTATCAAATTTTTTCACAGTATCAGATTTGGCAAATTTGTATCAAGGTAACGTGGCAAAAATCATATAATTCAAACCATCAACTCATTTGTCTCCCCTCATATCTTTTTTCACATACTGGGCGACTGAGTAACATGCATTAACTTGTATTCTGAGGGAGGAGCTGATCTTACGAGACACTTGACTAAATGACCATGAAGGAAAATAAGGCACTTTCTTTTCTTTAGACTTATTCCAATACTTAAAAAATAAAAAAGAAAGACAAAAAGGCTCTTTTGGTCTTTTGTTTCTTGACAACCACCAGAAAAAATCATTTAATGAAATAAAGGGTTTCTTTGTTCTTTTTCTTTTTTTTTTTATAACACTTGAAAGTATAAAATGCTACATTTCCAAAAATATATATATTTTTTTTCTGCACCAGCACCCTTGTATAGTAAAAGTATCTACTTTTTGTTCATTTGTTTCAATGCACTACACTTTATCTACAATTTCATTACATGTATACAGCAAATAGGCAAGCATGGCTTTTACATCCTTAATGATTTTTTTTCTATACAGGGAGGTTTAAAAAAAATATTTGAACAGTTTGCCCAGTAATGTGACACATAATGCATGTACCTTGTTCTCATATATTTTTTTAAGGAGGTGTAAAATAAAGGTTCAGTAATTTTAACTCAGATATTTATCTTTTTAAAAATAGTGTTGCAGTTTTGTTGTTTGCATTACTTTTCAAAATTCCTTAAGTTTTTGTCTCATGGCACACTTCTAATACTTCAAATTTTGGCAGGCAATATAAAAAAGGCTGCAACTTTTGCCCTTTGAGGGCACTGTAGTGACTAAACAGCATATCAAATTTTGAATACTTTTTGAAATCACTTCACCAATGACATCCCTGACCAAAGGTTCATGCATGATGCATCATCACACAGTACATTCAGAGAGCTTTGACTCGCTATGAGAAGAAAAGATTCCTAGAAGTCTCTCACAGTAACTGCCTCTGTCACTGAGTAGTTAAGGGCCATCTGTCTCCCCTTCTGAAGTGAGGCCTTCTTACCGTTCGCTTAGGGTGGGACATTAAAAGATGATCAGTGCTGTGGGATGAATTGGGCCTTATTGCTTTACTACTATTCAGTGCAGGTTCTAGAACCACTTTCACCCAAACAGGAAACAAAAAAAACAAAAGCTGAGTTGGAGGACAACAATTTCTTTGTCTTTTGTTTGGTTAGATGGTAAGACGAACGGACAAGTGCCTCAGCTCGCTGCACTGACGACAGGCAAGCAAAGGCGATTACCAGTTAACTGATCAGCAGGCAGGCATGGTCAGGTCATCATTGGGTGAAGAGTTCAGAGGTCAGAAGGTCATAGGTTAGTTGCCGGTGGCGGCTGGGTGGTTAGAAACAAAAAACAAAACAAAAAAAAAAAAAAAAAAAAAAAAAAAAAAAAAAAAAAAGATAGAGAAGAGATTAGTTTCAGCTAGTGACGGCTTAATGACAACATGAAAAACTAATCACAACTAATAAAAAAAAAGCATGTTTAATTCTGACAAACTGATTGACACCATCTACAGGATACAATAAAAAATCATGACAATTTCATATCATGATTTGAACAAATGAAGGAGAGCCCACTCCCACAAAAAAAAAAAAACAACAACTGGTTAACAGGAAAAAATAGAAATAAAATACAACTAACAACTAATAGTTAGTAGCAGTCAATGAAGGAAATTGGACAACAACAATGAATAGGTTTGGTATACAGAATTTTGAAACAGTCAGTGCAGTTATCAGTATCTGACTGCTATTAAGCATTAGTATTCTCTCAGATGCAAGCATTAAAGCAACTATTAATGATGGATGTGATTATTAATAACTGATGATTAACAGAAATGAATCTAAAGAAATTTAAATTTCTATGAACAATCTGGTTCAACATAAACTCTGGGCCAAACAAGGTTTCTTTTGTTCAATAAATGTTTATTGCTTTTTCAATTATTCTATTTACAAACAACATGGAATTTCTTGGCCTCATGATACAAAGCAATACTGTAGTCTAGCAGTGTAGGCAACATCATGGGAACCAGAAAAAGGCCAGGCCTCTTGCGCTAGCCAACACTTTCCAGTTGAAAATACTATTTTACACATATAGAACACTTATAAAATGCACTTGCATGTAAACACTGTAAAATCCTGCCATTTAAAATTCTATACTCGAAAAGCTCTAAGTACATCAAAAAATAGAAGAAATTTCTAATTGATACCAATAAGGCATTTTAAAACTACAAACAGCTTTCTTTATTCAATTTCAAAGCTAATACTCTGCAAATACAATAAAATCTGACATTTCATATACATTCCTGCTTTATATATTTTAAAAGAAGCCACCTGTAAATACTATTTTCTTTTGCAAAATAACAAACAGAACAAAAAAAAAATTTTAAAATTACAGTAAAACATAAAGTAGTTCTCAAGTGGAAAAGTTATCGTTCCCAATGTCCTTGAGTTGTTCCTTTCTTAATCAACCTCTGTCACATTCTGCTTCACCAAACTTGGTCCACTTAACAGTAGTATGATTTTTAAGACTCATTCAACAGCTTAATTATTTCTACTATATTCTGAGGTTTGATACAATTTTCTGTACTGTTGCCATTGTGACTAAGGCAGAGGAGACGTGAATGAAAAGATATTCAGTGCAAAGGCAGATTCCATGCCACTTCATAAATCAAAACCCAGGAGGTGTAATGTTCAGAGTTTAAATGATCTATATAATGGACTGGTTTACCTTCATAGAACAAAAATGTTTTCTATAGTCTACCATTCAGGATAGTTTGTAAATACTACAAAAAATATTGTATCTTCAGTGTGACCAAATTTTCCCTGAATTTCTTAAAAATAAGTGGAATTTTATTCAAAATAAAAACTGCTATTCCAAAATCAAAGAAGAAAATAAATATTTAACATCATGTAGTCATACCAGTTCATAGGTACTCAAAAAATACAGAATCTTAAAGCATTTTTGATATTACTTAAAATTTTGATTAAAATCGTATTAAGTTTCTTATACGAATTATGTAAATGGTTTTTATAAAATCATTATTCAGAAAAATTCTGATTATGTTTTTTTGAGTGTGGAATATATAAACAAAGCAAACTACCATTTATATATATACCAGTACACCTAGAAAACATCCTCTGCCAAGTCCTGGCCTCCTACAGTACACACAGGTGTGTCAACCGTGCAAAATCACTTATGGTTCATTACAAGTAAAAAGTCAGTTGGTCTTTTATAGGCTTCAAATTCAGTTTTGAAATATGTGTAGAGGTGGGTTTATTTTTAGTAAAGAACTAGATATTTGTCAACCATGTGGTACTCTAAATGCTGATACAGAATTACATGGTTATATGTCCAAGGGCTGAGTTTCCTTGCATTAAATGAATGATTATATTAATCTTCCCTTCAAAAGATTAAAAAATAATAATAAAAAAACCTCAAAAATAGAGAAAACAGTAGTATCATAAAATAATTTAAGTGAAGGACTTCAGACGTCTCCCTTAGACCCAATGAGTGCATACAGTGATAGTAACAGCAGTATACGAGTATTCTGTTATTAAAAAAAAAAAAGAAAAAAAAAAAGGTAGTATTTCGGTTTGCTGACATTGCATTTTGAATAAAAACAGTGACAGGACTAATCAAAAGACATATAACTACAAAAGAGCCATGCATGGAATGTGTTGTCATTTCCAAATACTGCAAATCTTCCTAATATTTTCAACTATTTCAAGGCACTGGAGTAGTGAGTAGGCCAATAGTTATTGCGTTAAAACAAAATTGAGAAATCTAAAAGAGATACAGGGAAAGGTTTACAGAAGAAAAACTACTTTAAAATGCTCTGTAGAACTATTTTAGACATTAATAAGGTGAAAAAAGCTTCAAATTATTCATGGAATTATCTGGTTTCCTTAAATCCAAAGTGATCTTTTTTTAAAATTTCCTCCTTCACTAGGAGACTTGTTTTGATGTAAGAAACGTGGTGTATACACTTGTACACGACACCCTTACAAGGTATATTATCTTCGTGAATAATCATTGAGCTTGGGGGTCTATTTATTTTGTTTACTGAATGATCACTGTAAGTAGTACATGTATTAGTTAAAAGTCTTCAAGGCTCTTTAATTATGTATGATGCTAAATAAATAACCCTCAGTGTCTTTGGAAAGGTATTTTATTCTGATGTGGACAACAGCTGTGTCCGATATTTATCATCAGTATTCAAGATAACCATGTGAAGCAGGTAGGTCTTTGATAAGTTCATAGAAGATGTAGGATTAGGGTATAAATCCATCACTTTTCCCCACTAATATTAGAGACTCTCATCAACTTAATTAGTAGGTATAAATGTGCCATAACAGAAGCTTATAAAAAATCCTTTTCTACCTTGCTTTGGATTCCTATCTTGTGATGATAAACTTAGAAAACAATTCAATGTCAATAAACCGAAAATATCACTCCTCAATAAACATAAATAATTTATAAGAGGGTCCAAGGGAATATATAGGACACAAATTACAAATGTTGAAAAGGAGAAAAATGAAGACTTATTTTCCAGTCACAGGTTAGTCAAAAAGGATATTCAAACAGCTGGATTCATGTCACCACAGAACTTCAAGAAATAGTTTACCTTCAGATAATATATTTTAGCAGCAAATGACAAAAATCAAAGGATCCATTTTGGCAAGAGAATGTAAGAATAAAAGGGAATTGATTTTCTGATTTTTAAAAAATCCAACTGCATCCAAGTTATCTTCACAGTCCTTACTTTGTTGATTTCAGCTAAGTACTTGACATGTGTATCCTTATGTTTATACAGTGGCTCAAATATCTTACTAAAAAGGAAAATGGAAACTAAATCTTCAATTTTCTCCAAAAGGACACAGGAGGCATATATTCCTTTACTTCTCTCATTAAAGCACCATCCACTCAGTTCATTTTGCAAAACCAACCCAAAATTTCAGAACAATTAAAATGCAAATTTTAGCAAAAATTATTACTGAAAAATAATTAAGGCAACATCAAAATTTAATAGCTCCCCAAATGGACTAGTTTATGTTTTAGTAGGAATAAATCATAGTACATACTAATACAGGATTTAATAAATTAAAATATGAAGGGAGCAAAAAAAAAAAACACCAAAAAAACCCAACCCTTAAATCTGTCAATTATTACAGATTAATTTAGAAAAGGAAAAGAAATGGTGTGCAGGTAAGCAGTTACATTTTTCCATCAGGTGTGGTGTTGCAAATTTTATGGACACCCAACGCATTTCTTAGAAACAAGAACTGCAGAACTAAACTAACCTCGGTCTGCGGTCACAATCCTTTGGTAAGGATGGACACGCATATCGTGCCTTCGAACTTTAGTAGCCACCGCACCTAGTTAAATTGCAATTACCAAGACAAAGTTAGAAAACATTCACAAGGGAAAAGAAAACAAACATTAACAGCAGGTTTATCAAAATGGATTTCAAATGTTCATTTACTACAAAAGTTTCATTTTAAGAAACATGTTAAGGCACAGTAGTTTTAAAACTAACCATAATATGTTGTGTTTATACGCATCTATTAATATTGCATTCATTTCAAACATCTTGGCCTTAACCTATTTCATCCATTCATTTACAATCCCAAGTTACAGTATTTCATGAACTCTATTAGATCCAAACACATTTAAGCTTTACTAGTCACATATTCACTGAAGTGCCTTTCTTGCAGCAGGACTACTTAAATAATGCCATGTTTAATACTGACAATTATTTGCTAACCTTAAGACCATCCAGAGTTTATCACTTAAAAAGGTTTAAAAGCAATTCTTAAAGCCTACAGATTGTGGTTTTAACCTTTGAGTCAATAAGTATGAACTGCAATGAATTAGGTGATTAGTAAAGCAAACAGTATAGTACACTTAGCAGTCAGTATACTACTATACACTCCTTTATAAATTACCGTTACTTTGTAAGATTACAGGCTAAACCAAATTAATAACATACTTTTACTTTCTATCAGTGTGCAAAAAGTGCAAGTAAGTCACTGACTGCTAGGCTAAGCTTCCCCCCACCCCCCGGAGGCTGCTGAGACTAAGCATTTGTTAAATTCAGATCTGATGAGGGTTCAGTTAAGACCGTTCTTGAATTCTTAGCCTTTCGTTGGGAAAGCCATACCTAAAGATAAAAGGAAGGGAATTAAAAATTAGTCATCAATAAAGATTTGATGCTAATACCAATCTCCTCACTACCACCAACACACATGTCTGCATCTGTTTTGAAGGGCACTGCTTATTTTAAAATAATGTGATGTGAGACTTGATATATAGCATGCATGTTATCTGTGTGCAAATTTATTATAACTTAGCAATTTGAAATAATTTTCTCAGTTTTCTAAGTGATCAATATCATGTTTTACTGCTTAGGTGGCAAAGCGAGAAATAAAATTGATAATGGATTTTTGTCATTTAGTACTCATTATTATTCATCTTATGAATGCCAATTTGGTATCTGTATATTTTGCTTTTAATTTTGTCAGTCTAATAATTAAGTATTGTAAATAAAAATTTCCCACCACAACAAAAAATACATTGCTTTAAAACAAGAAACAAATTCTATTGCAGTGCCTCTTGCTATTTCTAAGCAGTAAACTGGTCCATCACCCTTTTCATTTTAGATGAACTAATCTTATACAAGTATAATTCCACGAAGCAAAATCAGCGAGATCTTGCATTGAGAGTGCTGGAACAGCAGCTGGTGGCTAAGAGTGCCAGCCCTGCAGGAAGCAACAGTCAAACTCCTCGAACAGACGCTGTGCGTGCAGCAGAGAGGAGCTCTGGGGGAAAGGAGCAGGCATGGGGCCACAGGACAGAGCGTTAACAGAAAGGAAAACATAAACAGGTTACATGTTACATGTTATTTTAAAAATGCTTCAAGAAATGTGCAACAGAAACAAGCCTCTCATAAACAATTCTATAGTAAAATTCTGACCTATAATATTTTATACAATGATTTAGAGATAAACGAAAAACATGTACAATAAAATGTATTTGCTCATGAAACAAAAGGCACCTGAGTGCATGCACACACACAGATAACATACAGAGCACTGTGGCTTTCTTTAATCGAACAACGAATTTTCAAGTTTAAATCTTAGTGTCCGGGTTCATTAAAGACTTTCAAATTTTTATAAATCAATATTAATGCTGGGAAAAAAAAAAACCTTAGATCAAAGTCCTAAAAGTCAACAGCATGCATGCAGCACCAAGGTCATATACAATTCAAGGAAAAAAGTATTCAAATTCTGTCTGGTAAAACAAAGGGGCAGCACAGAAACAGTTTGTTCCACATTGACTGGTCGTGTTATAACAGCTGCTGTATTCTAGTCCTTCATCCAGCAAGTCAATGGGCTGAAATATCAGGCATGACTGGCATTTCAATCCACTCTATAAAAAAAAGGCATCAGTAATGTCTTTTTCAAGCACACCACTTTTTGTTCACGTAAAACCAAGCGTTTATAGTACGATCTTAATTTCTGCCTCAAGTGTGATTCTAATTCAGTGACTTGGTTTTTACTTATCAATTCCATACTGTACTACTGAAAATAAGAGACTCTCTTAAGTAGGACTTCAAAAACAAAAACTGAAGAAATCTGAAGAATGCAACTATTTACCTGGTCCCTCATATTTCAAGTGATCACAAATATCAGAAAACACACACACAATAACAGCAGTTTCAAAAGGACCTCAAAATACTTTCACGTAGAAATTTAAATTCAGCCGACAAATAAATATATCTCTGAGACAAAAGGAGTCTAATTTTGGGTGGTGGAGCTGATGGAGGGGATAGGCCAATGGATGGGATCTAAAACTAAGAATGACCTCAGTGATGTCGAATGTGTAAAGTATTTTCTGTTTAAAAGGTTCATAGCAAATTTACCCAACCAAAGTGAATCTGAGTTACCAAAGTGAATCTGAACAAATTTAAGGTGCAATTATTTAAAAGGGGAAACCTTATGAGAGGCTGAAATAAAATTTAGTCATCTCTTGCCTCTTTAAAACTGATATAATCGTTTCAAAGTCTGGGACAGCAACATTTATGAAGAAAAACATTGTTAACCATACAGGTAGAACAACTTACCTAATACACCACTAGGTTCAATAGGATACTCAAGGATTGATGTAGCTGGTGCCAACGTGTAGGGGTATTCATAGGGTGTGTAGATTAAACCAGCTTCGGGCCCTGGAGGAACTATTGCAGCAGTTGGGTGAGGAGTTCCGTTTGGCATGACAGCGGTCTGTATTTGTCTGATCAAAGGCATTATGGTAGGGCCAGCTGGCGTAGGAGTACGCAGGGCAGCTGGCGGGAGGACAGGCGCAGGCCCAGTAATAATCCTTGGAGCAGCCTGAGCTGTTGCTGCAAGAGAAAAGGCAAGGGCTGCTACAGTAAGCAAAGAAATTTAGAAGGAAGTATAGAGATAGCAGTATAAAATACGGAAAATGAGAGGGAAGTAGGAAAAAGGAAGGAAAAAGCAAGAAAGAAGAAAAATAAAAGGAAATCATTAGTACATGCGCTGATCACACAAAAATGCCAAAGCACACCAATCAAATGCAAACAGCTTCCCCCTTCCCAACGTGATTAAGAATAAATGTGCAAAAATTAAAAAGCCACTGTAAAAAAAAATGAACAAGACCATTAAAATAGGTTATATTTAGTTCATATATTTGATATATCTACGTTTTTAAGATCTCATGAGACAAAAGGTGCATGCAGAAGCACAAGAAAACACTCGCATTAAAAGATGTTAAAAAAAATATTTTGTAATTGGAGTCCACAGAAATACAGTTTTGGTATATTTCTAGAGAGTAGCTTCAGTTTCAAATTAAAGAAAGAATTATTTTCATTCTATTAAGTTAGTCAAATAACTACTACTTATAAATTTTCTGCATCTGTAGAAATTAACTTCACAGAAAAAATACAAAAAATGTCCCATTCCTAAATACATAACTATTAATGATATACAGTCATGCACCGCATAATAACCTTTCAGTCAAGGAGGGATCGCATATATGATGGTGGTCCTATAAGATTAGTACCATATGGCCTAGGTGTGTACTGGCTATACCATCTAGGTTTGTGTGAGTACACTTCATGATGTTCACACAACAATGAAATCACCTAACAAACGCACTTCTCAGAACAAGTCTCTGTCATGAAGCGAAACATGACTGGACTCATTCTCATGAGTAAATTAAAGCCAACTATTTATAAAGTAACCACTTCTAAACAAACTAGGTTGCCTACACTTTTGGAAAGTTGGCTAGGACTTTAAAGTTCTATTTCTTTAAAAAAATTAGTATTTAAATATATTACATTCATATAAATAATGTGTAAACCTTAGACCATCTCAAAATATAAATTTCACATTATGTCATTTTAAATATGAAAAAGCAATTCTCTTAGTTTATGAAAGCATGCACAAATACATATAAAGGAAAAAATGGGATTAAAAGTAGTATCACCTACTGCTCTCTGTGAACTCACATATGAAATCAATAGAGAAAAAATATTGGAGGGAAAACACGCAAGCAAGGTGAAAGGACAGAATTCAACAGAAGGATCATTGCATTCAGATACATTCCAAATTAGCTTTTTTGAAAAAATAGTTTTGGAAATGTTTTTGTCCTTTGCATAAATGTAACAAAATAAGCTAGAAGCCTAAATCTGTAGTTAATAGAATAGGAAATTTCCTGAAACTACTGAACTTAGAAGTGGAAATTTCATCAAAGAATAAAAGAAAAGTTTATAAACCAAAAAAAAAAATCAAGAGAGTGTCCTCAATTCACGAAAGCAGTAAAAATGAGACAGTCTCATATTAAGTGATAATTATCTCAACTCTTCACTTTCTTGAACTGTTCATGTGTTGTGCTGCCAAAGGAGAAAGATTTGTGGACAAAATGCTGAGACACATGTAACCCGGCACCTCAATTTCATTCTTACGTGATTTAATGTTGGCATCTCTGTAGGTGCCATTCAGAATTGCAAGCTCCATCAGCTGCATCTTCTTCAGGCTGTCTTCTCCCTCTGCCTATACATGGAAAACACAAGAGCAGTAAGCACTTGAGATCGTCCACATATGTCACAGCTATATCTATGCACAGGCCTGAAAATAGGTATACAACTATTGCCACCTGTTTCAATCAGGAAAAAAAAAGACTGGGAACCAAAAGGTGCTGACATACTGAACCCATTCTCTCAGTGATGGCATGCTGACACAGGATACTCTCGACTGCCACTAGCTACCTTTCTATTTGGAAATTTTTATATATGCTACAGTGATTTATAAAAGTTCTCCTAAATAGCTGTGCTGTTAAATGGAAAGAACGAAAATGTTAAGTAAGATTAAATACAGTATATTCCCTTTAGCATCTATCATTTTGTTGATTCCAAAATTCAAATGTGTTCATTAAAAGACAGAAAACAAAGAAAAAAACCGGGATTTTAAACATATAAGATTTGATTGTGGTATTCAAGTAAGAGAATTTTCTGTTTAATTATCCAAAAAGGAAAATTTAATGAGATCCTAAGAATTTCTAAAATTTGTATATACAGTCTATTCTCTTCTGCCAACATCCTGTTCTCCCCTCAGTTAGCAAGTGCTATCAATTATAAAAGCAAATCTATCTTTAGGGTCAAAATATGATGTATTTTCCAAACCAAGAAACATTTAAAAGCAAAAAGGGGCACTATTAATAACTATGCTATGTCAACAGGCATAAATCAGGATTGTCTCTGATCATCCAAATGTTTGGCCATCCCATTTAACCTGGGATTCGCCCCACCCTTTCCATTCACTATTGTCACCCTGTTCTAGGCAACTACTACAAAATTATGTTAATGGTATCTGTTCTCCAATCAATCTATACACAATCATCAGATTAACTACCCAAAACACCACTTTCATCTTAATGTTTCTTAACATTCTCACATCTCAAACTCTTCATGGTTTCTTACTACTTAAAAATATAAACCATTTAAACTACCCATGATTTGGCCCCAAACTATCTTCTCAAGTTAAATCAATTAATCTTCTACTATTTTTATACATATCTATGTTATAAATCAAACCAAATCACTGGCTGCTATTCATCTCTGTGCATATTCCTATTTCCTCCATCTTGAATGCTCCTCTGCTCTCCACTCTACCCCTCCTTCTTTCAAAATTCTACCTAATCCTTGCAAACTTCAACCAAAATGCTACCTTCTCACAGGGCCACCCATAGATTATATTGTTTCTGCCTTGAATTATAGTTTGTTGTATATCACCACTACTGAAGTAAGCTCCTTGAGAACAGAGTCTATTTCTTATTTATCACTGCCTTCTCCCCATTCACCCCATCCCCCAATTTATTTGCTAGGATTTATTTTTTAAATGATTGGTATGAGAAATCTTTAACTTTATTTATTTCCAAATCTCAAATGTCTAAATCCTACAGGATAAATTTTAACCACAGCAAAAAGAAGCAGTAGATGATGGTCCATCTACCAATGTTCATCCCTGAAGATGATGGTAGAAATGAAACTCTGCTGCTCACATATTTTATGCATTATCTAATCCTCAGGACTTCCTATTTAAAAAGAAAGTAACCCAATGATACATTTTTCTGATATAACTTTGGTCCTTTCTGATTTAAGAAAGGAGCAGTACTAGGACAGATGACAAGCTTCTCAGTCCTCCTTTTCTATTACAACTGTAAATGATACACAAAACTCTGTCCATGGCATTATAGCAGCAAATGGGCTAGTAAAGAGAACTGCTGAGCAGGCTTTTAATAAACCACAAAGAATTAAAGAAAAAGATAAGTGAAAACATCATGAAGACAATGTTAATATGCCACTGCTTCTACTACTTTTAGTAGTAGGAAACAGAGAAGCTATTTGTGTACTGTGGAATTACTAGTCCTTGATCCCTGCGAACTTGGACAAAGATGAATGGAAAAGAAAGTATTATGATTTCTCTGAAAGACACAGCAATTACTTGTTAAAGACAAAATAAGTAAGCACTATCCCTGGAAGGGAAGAATTAATTAGAAATTCATTATGATTTAACTCAAACTTGTTGATTGAAAACAAATAATACTAAAAATTAAAACTTATCAAGTCATTTCAAATTTAAATCTATACATAACAGAATAACAGAATCTATACATAATAACCACAAAAAGTTTATAAATTATACTCTATATAAATGAAAAGTAATAAGTGTATCTTTAGTCATCTTCCACAGTGAGAAAGTGGTACGTGTTGGAAATTGTCAGCAAATAAGAAATAAAGATGGAAGAAGTAATGTGACATAACGTCTAACACAGAGCCCTGTACCGAGAAGGGGTGCTTGAAAACGTTTTAATTGAACTGCTTCTTTTGGATAACAATATAACCCCACTAATTAGCTGCTGATGCAGCGTCAAACATGGGAAAAAGCTAAAAAGAAAGATGATGGAAGAAACACATGCGTGCACATCAGGGTATGTGCATGCATGTGTGTGCCTTTTGCAGGGTGCAGGAAACTGAAAAACAGATGTAGTGACATTGGCAGAGACTCCTCAAGAGGAGACTCAAAACCAGAGAGCACAGCTTTCAGGAGGCAGTGTCAGCGGAGTATGGCATGATGACATAGCTGGAGACCACTGAGACAAGTTATGAATTATGGTACATACATCGGATTATATCATATTATGGCAGGCTACAATAACACCTCCTAGAAGAGCCCAGAATTTAGTTGGCAAAGGCGGAATTCGCATCTGGTGGTTTTACTCCAGAAGGAGCTTAACTCTGGTGTCCTCACCACTCCCACCCACTCTGTACCCCCAGAGCATGATGCTGTGTGTCAAGAGATGGCCGAGTTCATTACAGGATTACTTTCATGTAGAAGTAGTTATTTCAGCCTTCTTGTCCTGGTTTGATCAATGAAACTTGGCAGTATAAACCTCCCTGAATACTGCTGAAGGCACATGCCACCTCTTTTCCAAATGTGAGTTCAGAGAAGAAAACTTAGTAGTGATAACTTCAGAAACCAACAAGTTTTTTCTATAGTCCAGAGGCTCTACAGCTTCTATGAACCAGGCTTCAGACTGGGAGTTTATTTGACTTCTCCTCTTCTCATAAAGATAAAAGCTGATCAAATATGGCATCCTGAAATCATACATCTCAACTCTAGACATTTCAAAAGGTATTTTATAGAACCTTGCTCAGGGACAAGCACCTCTATAAAGACTGAACACTGACTTTTCCATTTGTAACAAAGGAAAGTTGCTCTTAGGCAACCAAACCTAATGTCATAAAATGCTATTTTATAATGCTGAATCCAAGTGGTCATCTGGAACCAAATAACTTCTCATTTCTTAAGTATTTACTCTATATTTTAAAAATTGAGGTATAATTTATATGCAGTGAAATCCTGAGATCTTAAGTGCAACATTCCATCAGTTTTGATGAATGCACATCAAGACAGGATGTTTCCACCAACTCAGAAAGTTCCCTGCGCCTCTTCCCAGTCAAGTCCCACCAAGAAACCACTGATCTGATTTCTATCTCCACAGTTTAGTTTTGCCTATTCTAGAATTTCATATAACGGAATCACAGTGTATATACTTTCTGTGTGTCCAGCTTCTTTCTCTCAACACAGTTACGAAACTCTTCCATATTGTTGCATGTATCAGTAGTTCATTTATTTTAACAGCTGAGTAGTATTTCATTTGTTTAACCATTCTTTTGCTACAGACAGACATCTGGGTGTTTTTAGCTTTTGGACATTGTCAATAAAGCCACTATGAAAATTCTTGTATAAGGCTTTTTTTGTGAATGTAAGTTTTCATTTTTCTTGGGTAATTACCTAGGAGTAGAATTACTGGGTCACAGGGTAGATGAATATTTCTCTTGTATTTTGCGCGGAAAACATTATGTAAAGATCATTAAGATATTATGAATAACACCTTTACCTTTGAAATATAAAAGTTTAAAATTATAAAAAACACTTGCTACCTTCTCCACAGGTCCACTGCCCCATATTTAAACCCTGTGGCATCATAAGTGTTTTGAGAATTTTTCAGATTTGTCAAAAGATAGTATTCCAACGATTATATAACATCCCCAATGGGTCTGGAGGAACACTCCGATAATCCAATCTGTAACAAACAAATAAATACTCACACTAAGTGGGATAAAGACAGACTATAAACATAGTTTTCTGAACTTTTTGGGGTCTGCAATTATGAAGGACAGATTATGGATGTGCATATAAATACACAAACTTTATGCATGTATTACAGTAAGATACAGCTATGTTATTAACTGTTTAACAGCTATGTTAAAGTGATTTTAGAAATAGATCATGGTTAATATTAGATGAGAGTAACAAGGTTTTACCAATCTAGAATAGAACAATTTATACACTGTTCTACCTTATTAGAACTAGATATTAGATCTTCATCATCTAAGCATTTATGATTCATAACAGATCTATGGAAATGGTACTCTATTATCCCAGAGGTTCAGACAGGTTAGGTAGCTTATCCAAGGTTACTCAAGGTCACACTGCAAAACTGGCTTCCAACCCAGAGTACCTGAGCCAAAGTCCTCCTTATACCTTCTCCAATGTTGTGGTGCTTTTAAGTGGAAGTGTCTTTTGAATTCATCAAAAACCTCATGTAACAAATGAAGAAAATCATGTTTATTTGGTATTTAAAATCTATGAAGTACACATTTAAAAAACCCACATACAACAATGTAATTAATTATAACAGAGAGTTGAAACAAATGTATGACTATTTCCAAATCACTAATAATTTGTCAGCTAATAAAATAATTTGAACCACTGCCTATAAGAAAAACCAAACTCTCCAGCTTACCAAGGCACTGAATCACTTCTATAAGCAGCTTTACCTGCAAATGTTTTGCAGTAGTCAAAATCATCTGTCCACTGTCCCCTAGAATACACCTTGTGCTTTTCTGCCTCCAAGTTAGACAAGATCTTGTGTAGAAGCATCCTGTGCTGCCTCTTCTGTTAACCCAGATCACTGTTCTCTTCAG